AAAAATAAGAGAGTTAAGAAGAACGAACGAACGAACGAACGAACGAACGAACGACAATGCAAATATGCAGCGAGGAAAAGCGTAGTAGACGTTTCTTTCTTCGGATATATCTACATATATATTTCGCAAAAGGTTTCGCGGTGGCCTTGCATCGTGAGTAACGCTACCAACGGAAGGGTAAAAGTGAATAAATAAAACCGTCGCTCTTTCGTGCCCAGGGATCAAAACTTGGATTTATTGCCTAGTGCACGCGAACCTCGCTTCAAGATCAAAGCGCGGATACGACTTAAGTGCTTTTTATCAAACGCCCTATGTGCAACTGCTGCGACAGATCGCTCACGAATACGGTATCGTACTAGACTATGCAGGTACATTTACGTTGTGCATATATGTACATGTAAACATGTCTACGTGTGCGTATGCACACGCTCTCGTGACTTCACTTCTCGAATTTGCTTTGGGAAAAAAACTGGTCGCTCCGTTCGTTACGTACGTAACGGAATGCATTTCGCGATATTAAAACGAAGATCACATTAATTTGTATTTCTACGATCTCTGGGGATAAATCAGGGAGGTTAAATCATAAAAAAGAAAATGAAGTGAGAAAAAAAAAGATTAACAAACAAAACGAATGTTAGATCGTTAAATGTCATTGACTGATAGAATAAAAATAATGTAACTTTGACTTTTTTTTTTTTTTTTTGTAAACAAAAAGAGAAAGAACTGTTCGATCGTTACGTTTTAGTTAGAAGGATCTATTTTTACTTTTAAAAAGTGAGATCAGAATAGTAGCAGCTAGTAATCTCATTACTATTTTATCTATTTCATTTAGTTTTTTAATTTTTAAACATACAGTCGCTATATACTCTACTTAACGAATGATAAATAATTGATTAAAAAAATGTACTTAAAGAAATTGTTAAATAATTGATAAATAAAGTTGCATAATTAAAAGGAACGCTTAATATTTCTCACCTAAAGACCAATTTGGATGAAAAACAAGCAACGCTACTATATCGCAAATACATAATTCTTGAAATTCTAAGGTTTCTTGTTTGCTTCTTACGTGCACCATTTCGTTATCTCCGGCTTTCCGTATTTGCTTATCGAACTTCACTTCCACCTCGGTTCATTTCTTCATCATAAAATCGAGTTAACGTTAAGTCGCGGAATTATGCGTTTCCTCGATAAAGATTTCTCGTTTCCACAGAATTATCTTTACTCAAAAAAAGTCAATAGTTTTTATTGTAGTAATTTTTCAATTTTCTTTAACGCATTAAATCACACGATTAATTTAACGTAAAATCGTATAACGTAGATTTACACGAACGATCTATATCTTGTTCTGATTAGAAACATTTTATAAAAATTAAATAAACTAATATCTTAATATTGTTATATTTTAAACACTTAGAAACAAAAAAAATCATTTTTAAAAATGTTTACATTGATTGAAATTATTATTTGTCGAAGTTTAAATAAAATCTATCACTTCCACCACGATTCGTTTTTCGAATCGCAAAATCGTATTAACGTTAAATTCACGGAATTACGCGATAATTCATCGATAAAGATCCGTCGTTTCTACAGAATTATGTTTCTCCAATAGCAAACATCAGTTATTTTATCGTAGACTTTTTCCAATACTCGTTAACGCATCAAACTACGTAAACAATTCAACATAAAATCGCATAACGTAATCAATTTACACGAAAGATTTAATCGTTCATTTAAATAATAATCGACTAACTAGAAACATTTTATGAGAATTGAATTACTTTTTACTTTAAATGTATATACAAAAAATATTGAAGAAAATGTTTACATTGAAAAAATGATTACGTATTAAGGATTTAATATCCCTTTAATAAAAATTATTAATATGTTTAATAAATCCGTTAATTCATCATCTACTATTTTCACTAATTCAACTCCTATATATATATATACATATTGATTGTCATATATTGATTGTCATATAATTAAATTACATTCTCAATCCAACGTTATTGTAATTACATTAAATTACAACAGCAAAATCAATTAACATAGTTAAGTACTTTTCGAGAGAACACTAACCGATAAACTCGTATTAGAATAGGGTTCCTAATAGGGAAACGAACGAGGTTGGACACGATGATCGACGATCGCTATGCGATTCCTAATTTCGTCTTCGCCCGAATGGCGGGTAGGTCGTAATTTCCGAGGACAACTGCGGTCGTGTGCTCGTTTATGAACTTGCGAAAGAGAAAGAGAGAGAGAGAGAGATAGAGAGACGAGTCAGTAATTTTGTCCTATCGAGGGAATCATATGTCGACGAAAGGGTGTCGCGTAGGTAGGTGGTCCTCATTCTAACGCCACGTGGATGTCCCTTGCGGCACGTGAATTTCGTCGACAAGAATACGTGCGTGCGCGTATTCTCACGAGCGGACGAACAAGCCAGTATTCACCTACGGCATGATGTTCGCTTTACAGATCATTAATTAATTTCGCTTATATATTCTCATTCAAAATTCACAAACCTATGTCGATCGTTTACCTTCGTCTACAATACAAATAAACTCTCAGTATCGTTTAGTCAACATGCTATTTAATTGTTTCATAATTCTAATCTTCCTCTAATGAGTTGTACAATTTTCCACTTTGATCTTGAACATAGAAATTGTACAATCAGTAGAACCAAAATACGAACTGATCATATTCGTTATCGGATATACGCGTATGTATGTATATGTATATTTATATGTATATAAATATTCGAGACACGTAAATAATAATTATACAGAAATAATCTTATTACGATATGTACTCCGTGATGCACGATATTTGAAAATTGCCATGAGCAATGTACATTTTTTTTATCAATACGAATAATATTATTAAAAGAAAACAAAATCTCTATAGGTTTTGATTGATACGTGTAAAACACGTTCTATTCTTTTGAGATACTATTTTCAACGAACAATTGCATTGGCTCGCACGTTCTTACTCTCCTTTGTTTTTCTTTTCTCTGTGCATTTATCGATCGGAATCGATTCGTGTTTCCTATCGATTCCTGCACGTATAACATGGTCACCTTTAAAAAACTATTTTGATAAAGTATACACTATATACACATACACGTATGTGATGTTTATATGTCCGATATTTGATGCTCGTCTGCGCGCGCGCGCGCACACATTTTATCCAGATAACTTCGCTATTAATTTTTTATGTATCTATATTTATATATCTTTTTATATATTTTATGTACCTATATAATAAAGCAATTTGAAAAATTGTTAAATTTAGTTTTATTAGTTTTTCCATTTATTTCCCTACAAACCTACATAAATTTATTGTACTCGTTTACAATAGGTTTTAATATTATGTATATATAAAATAATAAAAATATATTATAATAATATATTTTAATAAATATGTTTTATTTTTGCGATTTTATCTCTGTTAATATAACACCGCAGAATTGTAATATTTTCAAAGGATATAGATACAATAATCGAGCCTCCTTCACATCGTTGTAAATTATTTTCCAGTCATAAACTTTTCAAATGCTCCTGTTATTTTGATTTAGTCACCAGATAGTCTATAGGTGTTTTATTAAAGATATCAATGTAAAGAGATTATTCAAAAATAATAAAATAAATAAATAGTTATAAGAAAAAATATTACTCAAAACGATAACTGTACGCATATGTGTACATTAATGTTTATTAATTTTTTGTAAAATAAAATTATTATCGACAAATTGCACTTTTAAATTAACGCAATTATTGAAACTGAATATATTTAACACATACCTAATATTTTATTTATCACATATTAATAATGTTCTTCGAACAATTTTATTATATCCGTGCGAATCGACTGCTATTGCTGGTCCGGTGCGAGACGCGCATCTAAAATTGCTTTCGTAAACAACAATACTAAACAATATTTATAGATAATTGGATGATAACGCATTCGCAATTGCCGTTTGTTAAGCGTGACACTTAGATGGATATAGTATATATAATTTTCAAAAGTTATAATTGAATACTGCAAGATTCTATCATTTAAATGTGTCTAAATATAAAAATATAAAAAATAACTACTTCTAAATATTATGTTTATAATGATTTGTTGTTTAAAATTGAAAAAAAAGAAGTTAAATGTTTGATAAAAAATTACAAGAAATATTAAAATTGAAAGAGTTTCATTCATTAAATATATTTTTTGGAAAACGAATATAATGAATTTACTGTAACATAAAATAATAATATTTTTACTGATTTGTTTAACATAATAAATTTACGTTGTATTTAATGATAACATGAAATGTAAAACATAATACTAAATTAAAAAATAATATCACAATGTAATAATAGAATGTTTAAGAGTAAAATTAAATAAAATTAAACGTACTTGAACAAAAAAATTAGCAATTAACATTTAATATTTAAATTTAATATTATATAATAATGTTCTTTAGATACATAACAATTTTTAAGAGATCTGTTCACTAAGTTAACGATTTGAAAACCATAATCCTTATGAGTAGAACTACGTTTTACACGATGATTGACGATTTTGAAATGACATAGGGCTACTTCACTAGTATTCAAATAAAGATTTTGATATGATTTAGGACTACGTTGTCAATATTCAGCTAAAGATTTAGAAATGGCATAGAACTACCTTACCAGTCTCAAATGTGTTAATAAAAATAATTAATGTACAATAATTAATAATTTCCGTATTCGAATATTACGAATCGTTTTCATATAAAACAATTTCAGATTGGTGGTAACATCAGAATAAACAAATTTCTATAATCGTTATCTATATAAAATATTTATTTAATGTTTGAAAACTTTCAATATGATTTTAAATTAGTTCTTTTAATTGATAAAGATAAAAAGATGCTTGGAAAATCGAGTACGAGAGAGACCCTTTTGAATAATATACATAACTCTTAAATATAAAGAGCGAAAGTAGTAACTTGGTCCAAAGTGAACTACCTGTCTAATCCAGCTCAAGGAACAACGGCACCCGTCTTATCTACTTTTATGAGAAGATCTCCTCTAAGAATGTCAACGATGTTATTCCTCTTAAATACTAAGAAGAACAAATACGAATAATTCTTAACTGTAGGATAAGAAGAAAGAATTCAAAGAGCCGAAGGAACTGTTTGATTAAACAACAGTTTATCTTTTATACTCGACAATTTCAAAGGAATCAGAAATGCTTTCTATGTATAAAAAATATAACAAAGACCTGTTTTATTAATCACTTTCTTACATCTTGCAAATTTACATTGACATTTACCGATTCTAAAAATTCTCTTATCGAAATAATAAATAGATAGTAAAATAATAGAATTAATAATATGAAAGTCTTATTTTATGTGTCTCTAATTTCTCAAAAATTTTTATTATTTCCTTTCGATTTAGACAAATATTTTGTATAATTGCTCTTTACAATCCCATAGAAAGTTTAAGATAATTAACTTACGGAAATATTAGCTATAAATCAGGTTAAAAGCCTTTAAATCAGTGAGAGAGAGAGAGAGAGAGAGAGAGAGAAAGGAAAAAGAGAGACAAGAAAATTGTAAAGTCTGTTATCAGAATTGCATTGATTGAGTAATTTGTGATTATAATTTATATGTTCCATATTTCATCTTTCGTGTTCTGTGTTTTGTATTTTGTGTTTTGTGTATACGGATGAAACAATAATAGCGTACTTTATATAAATTCGGTGACCCGAGCTCCAAAAAAATTTTATTTCATTTAATTCCAGTGACTTTCTATATTCCTATAAACAGACAGTATGTTAAACACATTTTGCATTTTCCCGAATAACGATGGACGATATATCCAGCCAACGGAAAATTGTTTACACTTCAAATCAATACATTACATATAATCTAAAGTAAAGCGAATGATTCATATATAGTAATTCAAAAAAAAAGAACTATAAAAATGTTTTTTTAAATCTTAGCTGTTCGTTATGGTGGACGGGAAAAATATACTAATTATTATGATTGAATTACTATTTAAGTTACTGAATTATAATTACTAATTTTAACAATTAAAAATCTTAATCTATGCGTATGTAGTTTCTCAAAATTTCTTACTACTTTTGTTTAATCCAGATTTTGAATAATTTCGAAAATTTGGTATAATTTCTCTTTACGATACAGCGAAAATTTTAAACTGTTGCGCTTAAAAAAATATTGACAATAAAATATGCTATAAATCATTAAAAGATATATATATATATAAAGATATATATATACACTTAATATATATATATATAAAGATATATATATACACTTAATATATATATATATATAAAGATATATATATACACTTAATATATATATATATAAAGATATATATATACACTTAATATATATATATATAAAGATATATATATACACTTAATATATATATATATAAAGATATATATATACACTTAATATATATATATATAAAGATATATATATACACTTAATATATATATATATAAAGATATATATATACACTTAATATATATATATATAAAGATATATATATACACTTAATATATATATATATAAAGATATATATATACACTTAATATATATATATATAAAGATATATATATACACTTAATATATATATATAAATATATATATATACACTTAATATATATATATATAAAGATATATATATACACTTAATATATATATATATACACTTAATATATATATATATATACACTTAATATATATATATATACACTTAATATATATATATATATACACTTAATATATATATATATATACACTTAATATATATATATATATACACTTAATATATATATATATACACTTAATATATATATATATACACTTAATATATATATATATATATACACTTAATATATATATATATATATACACTTAATATATATATATATACATATATATATATATATATATATATATATATATATATATATATACACTTAATATATATATATATACACTTAATATATATATATATACACTTAATATATATATATATACACTTAATATATATATATATACACTTAATATATATATATATACACTTAATATATATATATACACTTAATATATATATATATACACTTAATATATATATATATATATATATATACACTTAATATATATATATATACACTTAATATATATATATATATATATATATATACACTTAATATATATATATATATATATACACTTAATATATATATATATATATATATATATATATATACACTTAATATATATATATATATATACACTTAATATATATATATACATACACTTAATATATATATATATATATATACACTTAATATATATATATATATATATATATATATATATATACACTTAATATATATATATATATACACTTAATATATATATATATATATATATATATATACACTTAATATATATATATATACACTTAATATATATATATATATATATACACTTAATATATATATATATATACACTTAATATATATATATATATATATATATATATACACTTAATATATATATATATATATATATATATATATATACACTTAATATATATATATATTTAAAGATATTTATTTTATTATATATATATATTTATTATAAAGATATTTATTTTCTTATATATATATATATACACTTAATAAATATATATATATATATATACAATTAATAAATATATATATATATATATACACTTAATAAATATATATATATATATATACAATTAATAAATATATATATATATATATATATACACTTAATAGATATGATTAGTAATAAAAATGATTTCAAAAGACGATCCAAACACAAGATTTTTTTTATAAATGTCAATGTCGTCCATATTTTTTATATATTTATATTCATTCTTTTCTGCCGTATGTTACTAACATTACCGTGCATTTATTCGTGTATAATGATATCTGCTTGAAACGATCTCGGATTCTAAAATTTTCTAATTAGTGCAAAATTTACTTTCATTATTATAGATTCATGTTATCACAAATAGGGGAGATATTTCGGTGTGAAACATCCTGTATATCTGGCAAACAATCTTTTTCCCGTCAAAGTCCGAGATATTTTCTACAAAGTACTTTTGCTTTTTACCTACACTTTTACTTTTATGATGCATCGAAAGTATAAACGAAAGATGAATCTTCATACATCTGATTCGTAAGAGTTGGATTTCTAGGCAATAATTAAAAGTACGTTAACCATTTTACGAGCGGAAATAATTCTGATCGATGCGAAAAGAAAATGTGAAAGAAAAGGCATAAGTTATGAATTAACAATTCATTTCATAATGAAAAAATAAAATAAATTAAAAAAGAAATATATAAATATCTAATTTAAAATGTTACATTGTAAAGGATATAAAATGACATTATAAAGGAATAGATATAATAAATAATTTTTTTTAACTAAAAAGATGAATTCTAAACATTTTTTTATCTTTTCATTGAATAAACGATATTTCTTTTTTTTATTGTTGTCAACAAAACCCAAAGAAAGTAATTACGTAAATTCATCAAAGCAGTCGAATTCTGTTTCTCTCTTTCGACTTCAAAATATTGTGCTTAGAAAATAGTGTAGAATTCGTACTGGCTGAATCGTAGCTTGCAAGAATATCCCCTATAGTAGGAATAACGCCAAAGGTGGCAACCTTTCGTATTAGAGAAGTCCACAAACCCAGCTTGGAAGCCGCGGATATATTCCTGTGGTCGTTAGCCGCCCACAAAACCACGGACTGTAACTCAATTAATCCGGATTGATCCACCCGTATTCGCGAGCACTGTTATATGTATGATACACGTACGTAAATGTTGATATATGTATGAGTGTTCGTTTATACGTATACGATGCATTACCTACGCACAGAGATGTGTTATCGATTAGAGGGGTGATGGTATCAGAGTATCAGAGAGAGAGAGAGAGAGAGAGAGAGAGAGAGAGAGAGAGAGAGAGAGAGAGAGAGAGAGAGAGAGAGAGAGAGAGAGAGAGAGAGAAATATAGGATGACTTTATCCCAAATGAAAGCGTATCTCCAATGTTGACGATTATATCGCGACGTGATAACGAAAGATGACTCTACGTGAGACGAGAAATATCGCTACTCTTCGGCTCTTTCGCCATTGATGGATTAGAAACTAAAATCTCATGGGACCGGCGTCGTCTCGACTGAAAGTCAGGTAAACCTAGACATGATCGCGTTGCAAAAGATATTGCCAAAGCTCCATTCATTTTATAGTGATCCTTTTTTTTGAGAATGATATCGGCAAAGTAAGATATATTGTGATAAAATGTGATTTAATGTGATAGAAATTATAATAAAATGATTCGATAAATGAAGTGGCTGCACCGATAAATTTTGTAACGATTAATTTAATTTCGATTATAACGATTAATTTTAATAATAACGATTAACGTTAAATTAATTTTAATAATACATAAAGCAATTAAACGATTTATTTTTTCCATACGTATATATATTCATTAAAATAGCATTCAGATGAAAATGGTTACATTAAATTTTAACGAACACGCAAATAGGTATAATCGAAGTTTGATTCAATGCTATAACAACTAATCAGGACAAAATTTTCCTTCCAATTATATGAATGACTTTCCTTTCGGGAAATTTTACACGTTACGAGGCGTGTTATATGAGAGACATTCACCTATTTATATTATTTCGAAACTAGTTGCAACATTTGTTGGCAACATAAGCGAAATATTTATAATGCACGCATAAAGCTTTCGCTCGCAATTATAAATTTAATAAACGCTAACTGTGTGTGTCTCTGAATTTGGCAGAGCAATTTTATTGTGATTAAAGGTACTCTCTGATTTTTTTTCGAATCTAAATTACAAACGTAAATTTCATGGAAAAAAGGAATAACGTAAATCATAAATTACAATAATGCGATAACGGTTTGTTAATAGATTGGAAAAGGCATTATCAATATCGATATTGTCAATTTTGATAAGTCTT